ATAACAAGAACCCATCGTAGGATATGGGGGAAAGTCAAGACATATTCAACAACACTCTCAAAGGATCATGAAGAATCGTCACCTGATTTTGTGTTTAAACTATTCTTGAACGCATTCCGCCTGCAGAGGGAGGGACATGCCCGACTTCGGTAAGTGCAGTAGGGAACCGAAATCTATACACCGACGCGTTTTCCGGCCCTGCACTGGAACTCGCACAGGAAAGCGGGTCCTGATGTATACGGGATCCTCGTGTATACATGATTCGCTGTTTCCTCGGGAAAGCGGGGAAACAACTATATACACAACAACACCCCGACGTCGTCACCGACCCTCAAAATGCCCTGGGATTGAAACAAAGCCCGCCACTACTGATAGTGTACACTTTCCAATTTTTCCGAGCAGAGCCGTCCCGCGGGGCCTCCCGCCGCAGCCGCCGGCCCTCCGCGGGCACGTACCTGCCGCGGCTGGCGCGGCGGAGCATCGCCTCGAAGGCGCCGCCGCCGCCCGGGGCGGCGGCCGCGGCCGGCTCCATCGCCTCCCGCGCTGCAGGCGGGCGCGGCCGGCGGGGCCCCGCCGCCGGCGGCTGCGGGCGGCAGAGGGCGGCTGCGCGCTGTCGGCGTGACGTCTAGTGGTGCTCGCCTCAGGTCGGGCCTGTCCCCCATACAGGCCGATCTTGAGCGAACAATTAAAAGTAGTCAAAAATACTCCAAAGATGTTCAAAAATCGTCAAAAATAATCCCCTCGCTATTTTTTTGACTATTTGTGAACATTCCCGCTGTAGGAGGGACAGGCCCGATTTAATGCTCGCCCCCTTCGTCGAGTGAGCCCTGCCTCGGCGATGAACACGCGCGCGATCTCTCGGCGGCCACGTTCGACAGCGAAGCTGCAAACAGTCGCCAGGAGACGGCGAAGAGTATCAGGAGCCAGCAGGCCAAGCCAGGCTGGTAGGTCTCAGGACACCCCTGAGACCCTGGCGCTGCGATTTTGTCGAGCCTGGCGCTCTCGCCTCTTGTTTTGCTTGGGCCCCGGGGACCTCGCAGAGCGATCCGGCTCGAAGGCGGACGCGGAAGCTGGGGTCCAGGGCTGCGGGCGTGACTTCTGGCGCTGCTGCGGGGGAAGTGCTGGTGGTGCTCGCCCTCCCCGGACCTCCGAGGACGCTTGCCGTGTCCCAGCCGACGTAAGGCCGCCAGCGCCCGCAGACAGAGGGCATCTTGGGAGGCCTGGAAATTGGCACCAACACCAGCACAGGGGTCTGCCTCCACATGGGGAAGATGATCCTCGATTTCGGTGTTGGTGGTAAGATTTCGGTCACCTTGGAAGCCAGAAAATTACCACCATCACCGAGATCGGGATCGTGTTCCCTCGGTGGATGCACACCGCCGATCTTGGTGTTGATGTCAACCTCTAGGCCTGCGACATCTCGCACGGAGAGGGCCACCAGAGCGCCGAGGACTCGCGCCGCCGGCACCGCCGCGGCGGCGAGGTCGGGCCGCTCGGGGCGTCGGCCCCCGCCCCTCGGCTGGGCGGGGGCCCGGAGGGTCCGGCCGTGGACACCCCGCGCGGCACCCGGAGCGGTCGTGGAGCCGGCGCGGTCGGTGCCCCCGCCCCCCCGCGGGGAAGAGCCAGGTGAACTGACAGCGCAGAGGCGGGCAGGGCACAGCAAATGCAAGAGCACTTTCGAGCATCCCAGACAACAGACCGAGGCATCCCAGAGAGAAAAGGGACGCAAGCAAGCGTGCTCGGCTGAAGGAAACCATTGCACCAGAGAACAAAAAACAACAAGTGGATCATTTGAAAGTTAGTGATATGGACATTGCGATCGATTGTTAGATCGGTGGTGAGATCGATCGTGAGTTTGGGATCGATCGTGGGTGGGGACGATAATAGTAAGGTCGATCGTGAGACCGATACTAGAGTCGATTCTGTGAAATCGATAGTGAGCTCGATCGTGATATCACTCGTGCAACATATATATATATATATATATATATGTGTGTATATATATATATGTATATATGTATATACAAATATACATGAAGAGATCGATTGTGATATGGATTATGGGATCGATAGTGTGATCGATCGAGAGGTGGGTCATGAGATCGATGGTCAGACCGATTGATAAAAATATCGACCAAAAACCAAGGAACACGGACACCCAAGAACCCCGCAGCCCACCGAAATCGGCCCGGAACCAGCAACCGGGAACCCGGGAACCTGGAACCGGGAACCTGGGAACCCGGCCGCCCACCGAAATCGGCCCGGCACTTTCGCCAAATCTTTCAATATCCGCCAGGACCCCTTCAGTGCAAGCACTGCGGGGAATATAAGAGCAACAACAGTGCGCCGCGCCCTTGGAGCCTCAGGCGGCCCCAAAACGGGCCAAGAGCGACACAAAAGGCCTCTGGGAAAGTCCCAGAGGGCTACGAGTCGCCGAGAGGTCGCTCCAAGGCGCCCAAGATTGCCTCCAGACGGCCCCACAGGCCCAACATGACGCCCCAAGAAGCTACCAGGAGGCGTCCCAAGAGGCCCTCAAGAAGCAGCGTCCCATTCCCGAGGGAAAACGTAATTCTTTAGCACATACGTCCCTTGGGCGTTCACGAGCTCCACAAAGGCCCAAGAATCCTTTGAAGATCGACCCCAGACAATCCAAGAGGCCCCCAGGAGGGCTCCAAGATGGCCTTAGGGGGCCCCAACAGGGCCCCAGAAACCACCACGACGGCCCAGGAGAGCCCCAGGACGGCCCCAAGAGGGCTCCAAAATGGGCCAAGAGGGCCCCGGGCCCCAAAGGGCCTCCTGGATGGTCCAAGAGGGCTACGAGTCCTCGAGACATCGCTTCAAGACCCTCAAGATTGCCTCCAGACGACCCCAGAAGCCCCCAATACGACCCAAGAAGCAACCATGAGGTGCCCAAGAGGCCCTCAAGAAGCAAAAAACGTCCAGTCCTCTGGTAAACGTACATTTTTGTTGCACATTCGCCTTTTGGGATTGTCACGAGGCCCACGACAGCCCAAGAAGCCTTCAAGATCGACCAAAGACAGCCCACGAGGCTCCCAAGAGGGCTCCAAGACAAGAGGGCCCCAGAAGCCACCAACACGGCCCAGGAGGGCCCCAGGACGGCCCCAAGAGGGCCACAAAATGGGCCAAGAGGGTCCCACAAGGCCCCCCCCGACGGTCCCAAAGGGCTACGACTCGTCAGGAGATCGCTCCAAGACGCCCGAGATTGCCTCCAGACGGCCCCAGGGGCCCCCTAGACGCCCCAAGAAGCCATCAGGAGGCGTCCCCAAAGGCCCTCAAGAAGCAAAAATCGTTCCTTTCCCGAGGGAAAGCGGATATGTTTAGCACATTCGCCTCTTGGCCGTTCACGAGGCTCACAACAGCCCAAGAAGCCTCCAAAATCGACCCAAGATAGCCCCAGAGGCCCCCAAGAGGGCTCCAAGACGGCCCAAGGTGTCGGCGGTGCGGCGCAAGCCAATGAATCATAAGAACAATTATCCCAGTGCGACCCTACCTAGGAGTTGGAGCCCCTAGGAAAGCAGCATTAGTAGTAACAGTGCAGATAAGCTAAAGCTAAGCTTAAGCTAAGCTTACGCTAAGCTAAAGCTAAGCTAAAGCTAAGCTAAAGCTAAGCTAAAGCTAAGCTGAAGCTAAGCTGAAGCTAAGCTAAAGCTAAGCTAAAGATAAGCTAAAGCTAAGCTAAAGCTAAGCTAAAGCTAAGCTAAAGCTAACACTAAGCTAAAGCTAAGCTAAAGCTAAGCTAAAGCTAAGCTAACGCTAAGCTAACGCTAAAGCTAAAGCTAAGCTAAACCTAAGCTAAAGCTAAGCTGAAGCTAAGCTGAAGCTAAGCGACAGCTAAGCTAAATATAAGCTAAGGCTAAGCTAAAGCTAAGTTAACGCTAAGCTGAAGCTAAGCTAAAGCTAAGCTAAAGCTAAGCTACAGCTAAGCTAAAGCTAAGATAAAGCTAAGCTACAGTTAAGCTAATGCTAATCTAAAGCTAAGCTAAAACTAAGCTGAAGCTAAGCTGAAGCTAAGCTAAAGCTAAGCTAAAGCTAAGCTAAAGCTAAGCTAAAGCTAAGCTAAAGCTAAGCTAACACTAAGCTGGAGCTAAGCTAAAGCTAAGCTAAAGCTAAGCTAACACTAAGCTGGAGCTAAGCTAAAGCTAAGCTAAAGCTAAGCCAACACTAAGCTGAAGATAAGCTAATGTTAAGCTAACGCTAAGCTAAAGCTAAGCTAAAGCTAAGCTAAAGCTAAGCTAATACTAAGCTAAGTTAAAGCTAAGCTGAATAGCTAAAGCTAAGCTAAAGCTAAGCTAACACTAAGCTGAAGCTAAGCTAAAGCTAAGCTAGCTAAGCTAAGCTAACAGCTAAGCTAAGCTAAGCTAAAGCTAAAGCTAAGCTAAAGCGACAGTTAAAGCTAAGCTAAAGCTAAAGCTAAGGCTAAAGCTCCCAGGGGACTGGGGGAACCGCGGGGCGGGGACTGGGGGAACCGCCCGGGGCGGTTTCCATTGCCCGGCCCTTTAAGCAAAGAGAGTAAGAACCCTTCTAGGCAGAGCCTAGGTAGGGAACAACAGTGCACAAGGTTGATTCGGCGTGACCATTTTGCACTCCTGGGCCAAGCCTCGAAAACAACCAGCTGGATCAGGGACGGGGAAGCGGAGTTGCGGCCAAAGACCCGCACGCAGCGTCGGGAAGCGGAGCCGCCCCCCTGCGTCGTGCTCTTCCCGGGGCCGTCCCCACGGCAACGTGCGTCGGTGCCTGCCCCACCCGCCACGCCCACGACGACCACGAGGACGACCACGACGACGACGACGAAGACCACCACGATGACGACGACCACCACGATGACGACGACCACGATGACGACGACCACGGCCACGACCACGCTGACGACCACGCTGACGACCACGAAGACCACAGCGACGGCTGCGGCAGCGACGGGGACAACGGTGTCTCGCCTCGCCTGCGTGGAGATCTGCGCGCGCGCGGGGGGGCCGCGGCGCCTTGCCCGGCATGCCCGGCCGCTTCAGCCTCCGCTGCCCCGCTATAGCGGCGGGGGGGGAAGCTATCCCTGACCCACTCACGGTGTGGCACTACCCAGGTGCGCATTCACCCAGCTCATCTGCAATGAGTGGCAAACGGGCTTGTCCTAGGCCGAGGAACATTCGAAAGGGCGCGTCAGCCCTTTTGCGAGCCACCATGGGAATCCTGCGCATTGCGCGCCCCAAGATGGCTATATCCGCCGCCCTGCCTCTGGGCACGAAGTGGGCATGTCCTCAGGTCCTGTGCCTAACCTCTGGAGCATCAATCCTTAGTCCTGAGTGGTCTTGAAGGGCACCTGGGCCCAAAATTCTCAAAGCTACTGGGATCCCGCGTGCCCCCTGACTCTGGGAAGTACTCCTGTATGAACTGTTCGTGCCCAAGAGGGCCTCAAGACAGGCCAATAGGGCCCCATTAGGCCCCCAAGACGATCTTAGAGAGCTCCCATTCGCCGAACGATCCCTCCGAGGTACTCTAGATGGCCCCCAGACGGCCTTAGAGGCCTCCAAGACGCCCCAACAGGCCTCCAAGAGGCCTCCTAAGAGGGCCCCAAGGTGTCAACAGAATTGGTCGTCCTCAGGTTGTTGAAAGATTTTGGCTTTCTCGCCGTTTCGGCTTCCCGACGCTCCCAGCCGGCCTTCGAGGCCCAGAAGACCACCCAAAGACGGCCCAAGAGGCCTCCAAGATGGCCCCCAAACGGCCCAAGAGGGCCCCAAGACGGCCCAAGAGGCGCCCAAGAGGGCCCAAGGGGACCCAGAACTGCCCCAAAAGAGGCCGAAGAGAGGGAACGGGAACCGAATCGAGCCTTCCGCCCCAAGAAGCCCCCAGGAGGCCCCAAAAGACGACCAGGAGGCCCCAAGAGATTCCCAAGAGGCCCCAAGAGGCACCAAAAAGGCTCCCAAGAGGCCCCCCAAAGGCCCCCAAGAGGCCCAAAAGAGGCCCCAGGAGGCCTCCAAACAGCCTCCAAGAGGCCCTCGAAAGGCCTCCCACGAGGTCCCAACGAACATCCAATAGTCTTCATACCCACACGCCAGGCGCGGTGGCGGGATGGGCCGAAGGCCATTCGATAATTATGAGGCGGCTCACAAAGAACGTCGATTGCATGCGGACAATTTCGCTCCGCTGGAGCGTCCAGGATCTCACGCAAGTGATGGCAGGTATACCGTTGGCAGCGCCAAGGGAGAGAAGGTACATTTCGGGTCCGCATACGACGTCGCTCCGCCAGACCTCCCAAGAGCACACGGAATTGGCGACGGCTGTGCAGTGGGCAACGCCCAGGGGAGGCGAGGTCTAGTTCGGATCAGGCCGCTGGACCCCCCAAAGAGCTCACGACAGTGAAAACAACTGCACAGTGGGCGACGCCCACGGAGGCGAAGTCTTAAGATGGGACCGCGTGAGACGTCGATCCGCAGGATGCCCCCAAAGGCGCACGAAAGACGCGACACGGTTGCGCAGGTGGCAGCGCCCAGGGAGGCGAGGCCTCGCCCACGTCCTCGCCACCGTCTGGATGCATCGGTTCTCAGAAATCCAGTCGCGATCTTGCTCGGTCCGTGGCCCCCAGGCGCCTCGACCCACTCCCGGGGACCGGCTTGTCATCCTGAGCCGCTCTGAGGCTGTCCCAGGGCCAGGCAAAGGCCTCCCATACGCAGAAGAAGCCGCAACCAAGCAGCAACGCGTGGTGTTTACGACGGGCTTCCTTCGTGCTTCCTGGTGCACGTAGAAGCCGAGGGCTCGCACGAGGAATAACAAAAAGTTTGCGGGCAAGGGGCCAAGGGGACGCCCAAGAATAGACGGAAAGCCGAGAAAGGTGAAGAACGACGAGGGAAACGGAAATGGGCGATCCAAAAGACACCGCCCTCTCGAACAGGTGGTCGGCGACGTCGCGGCCGTGCCAGGCACCCGAAAAGCAGCCCTCCCTCATCCCTCTCACCCCTCGGGGCACACGCTAATATGAATTGCGGATCCATGGATCTGGCGCGTGGGAGCCGGATTCACGGATCGGGGAAGCTGCCCTCCGAAACATGATGCTAGCTCCGCCCTATTTTGGCGACGGAACACGCTGAATGCACTAGCTCCGCGCGGATTTCTGGGATCCGCGCTGGCACACCCCCCCTCCTGCGCGCACAGCGCGCCAAGTGCGGCGCTTGAGGCGCCGCCAGGGGACCTGAGCGCCAGTCCAAGAAATCCGCGCGGAACTCCGAAAGTGCATGTTTATGCTATATGTTCTTGTTCGAGAAAAGGCCCTCACTCCACCTTGCCCATGTCCTAACCCGTGCCCTTCTCTTCTTCGCAGTCTTCAGCAGCCCCCTAGGGCCTAGGGGTCTGGACCCCTTCCCCCGAGCCAGTCCTCCTCCTGGCTAATCTTCGGGGTGGCCCTGGGCCCCGCTTGGGGCTCCCAGGGGCAGCACAAACGCCCCAAGAACCTTCCGTCGTGGGTCTGTCCGCGACGCGACGGGGTCACGTGTAGGGGCCCCTCGCCCAGCTTGTCACCGCCGCCTCTCCTCCCCCCTCCGCCCCCGCTCCTCTCGAGCTCGGGGCCGCCGAGGATGTCCTGCAGCAGGGGGTGGCTGACGTAGTTCTGCGCGGGCGCGCGCGCGCGCGGAGGACGACGAGAGACACGGGGCGGGTAGCGAGGTGGGGCCGGGGAGGAGGGCAAGGACAAAGACATGCGCGCCACGCTTTTGGCCGCCTTCGGCCTCCGGGGGCCCTCGCCTGGCCCTGGGGCCGTCAAACAGCCCGCCCTGGGGACGAAGAGCCGGCCCCGTGTGGAGAGCATCGGGACATCAGGTGACCCCCCCGTCTTGCAAAATCAAGACGCTGGATGCCTGGGGGTGGAGAACGAGCTGGAGCAAGCGTTGCCCAAGCCGGCGCAAGGCGGCACGACTCCGCTGGGCTGCTGCAGCCTTCGAAGACTGCGTGCTCACAGGTTGAGCCTGCCACGGCATCCCATCACCGTCCGCGTCATGGATGCAATTCTCCTGCTGTCCTTGGGGCACAGCAGCGGGCCCCTGAAGCCGAGATCGAGGAGCATTGCCCGGACGTCCTCCTCCTCCTCCTCCTCCTCCTCCTCCTCCTCCTCCTCCTCCTCCTCCTCCTCCTCCTCCTCCTCCTCCTCCTCCTCCTCCTCCCCCTTCTCCTCCTCCTCCTCCTCCTCCTCCTCCTCCTCCTCGACCTCCTTCTCCTCCTCCCCCTCCTCCTCCTCCTCCTCCTTCTCCTCCTCCTCCCCCTCCTGCCGCCTGGGATCTGTGGGTGCCCAGGCCCCCCCACCGAAGCCGCCGTCCTTTCGCGGCGTGGGCCCATGGCTGGCCTCGGCGCCTTCCCCTGGCGAAGGCCCCCCCAATGGGTTACGACGGGCATGCCCTCCGACAGGCGGATGTTGGACGGAAAACGAAAACTATTCAAACATACGCAAAAAGTATGATCAAACACATCGCAACATCGTCCCAAGACTATGGTTACACTATCTTTGGAGATTCCTCCTGCAGAGGGGCATGCCCGACTCAACCCATGGGCCAGGCAGCGGGCCCTCGGGAGGCCCGCGGGCTGCCGAGAGCGCCTGCCGCCTTCGACCTCGGTACGCAAGCCCGAGGCGCAAGGCCTCGGTATACATATATATATATATATATGTATATATATATATGTGTGTATGTATGTATGTTTATATATAGAGATATCGCCAAAGGGGGGGGGCGACGGCACAGAGATCCGAGGCGCGCGCGTGTGCGTGTCTGATGGATGTGCACGGCAACTTCACGACAGTGCACATGTGGGAAAGGCACCTCCTCTCTTGCTCCTCCTTCCTCCTCCCTGCTGAGCTCTTCTCTCCTCTGCCTCAACCTCGCCTTCCTCCTATGTCCTCAGCCCCTTCCTGACCTGCCTCTGGCGCCTCGCCTCCTCTACCGCCTCGTCCTGCCCTCACCTCTCCTGTGGTGCCAGCGCCCTCGGGCGGCCTCCTTCCGAGACGTGGCCCCCGCAAGTCCCGGCCCGCTCTCGAAGAACAGTATGCTGCATCCTCGGGGGGGCTTGCCTGTCCCGTTGCGGCAGTATCAGCGCCGAAGCCGTGTCGAGTCCATGTCGGGCTCGTCGGATCTGTGTCGTATCCGTGCCGACCCCGCGTCGAACCCACGCCAAATTCGCGTCGAGTCCGCATCGAGCCCGCGTCGGGCACAAGAAGAGACACCAATTCGGGGGACAGGCAAGGTCCCCCGAAGCTGCAACGCCACGAGCATGCCCTCTGAGCGAACCACCCTGAGCACGTCAATGGGCTGCGTGCCGAGTGCAGGAACGGCCACGCGCTTGCGCTCTCTGCAAGGACTTGGAAAAATAGCAGTCAACCACTTGCTGCAGACGATTACGAATGGGGGATTCATGCCGAAAATCGGCCGCTGAAGCATTGGGTGATGGCCCGTTCCCCAAGGGCTCAGAAAACTTGTTTGACGGCCCCCGGGTCCGACGGAGGCACCCGCAAGAAGAAAGCTGCGAAAGACTTCAGTGCTGAGTTTTCCGACGCGCCGGAAGTCTGGGGGAGGTCTCGAGTCGTGCGTTGCCAGAGGCCCAGAAGGTGTCCTTAGGATTTTCGGGGAGGCCCCCGCGGCTCCCAGTGTACCCTCACGAGACCCAGGGGGCCCCAGGGGCTCCAAAAAAATGCGCGAAGAGCTGGGGACACCTTTGGCGGAAGGTGGTGTCCCATACCGGCCGGTGGTACCCTTTGCAATCCTGCCGACGCGCGTCGGTGTGCCAGGCCTTCGGGCTGCTCCGTGCTTCTGCGAGGGTAAGTGGCTAGCCCTTGCTCTTTCGATGTCTCGCCTTAGGCAGGGGCGAGAGCGATGGCGACGACAGCGGCAGTGACCGCAGCGGCCTCGACGGCGCGGGCGAAAGCGAGGCGCGAAGGCGACGAAACCGCGGCGAGGTCCGCAGCGACCGCGACGACCGCGAGGGGCGACGGCGGCAACGGGCGAGCGGCGGCGACGGCGGCAGAAGGGCGGCGCGGG